TGGGGCTCACCTCAACCCACAAGCAGAGTTCTGGATGGGATCCAGGAGTTCTCCTTTTGCCTCTCTTCTTCCAAGGCTGCATGTTGGATAGGTTGCTAGGGATATGAATGAGGAAGATCTCCCACTGCATAGCTAAATTTTCTTTTTCAAACTATTTGAATTTCAATAGTTAGTATGAGTGTTTGGGCATATGAGCATATACCTCTGACAAGGTAGGGCCGAGATCTTAAGGATCTCTACCTTAACATGACTTTGTTCTATCTGCTCGTTTTCTTCCACCTAGCCAAACCAAACTGAGAGGGTAGAGACTTTTATCAGGGACATAGGTAATAAAGAGGAAGAGGGAGACATGACTTGGAGGCATGGGGCACTTCAGGGGGAGTTGGGAAAGGCATGATTAGTACTAGAGAGGACTATGGACAGCTAGAGAGCAGCTACAGTGGTTGGATGGGCATAGAAGAAAAAAGGACTGAGAAGTATAAAAGAAATAAATATAAAAGGATATAGAAGGTGACATAATTACTTTTTTCCTTTTTCACAGTTTTGCTTTTGGCTCAGTTCAGCTCTTCATCTTTCTTCTACAAACTTAAAGTAGAATATCTCTGTACTATGCTTTTTTACTCTGTTCCTACCCAGGAAAAGCTATTTATTGTTTTACTTCTCTTCCAATTATTCTGGCCTGCAAAAAATGTAAATCAAAGGTGGGGCAAGAAATTAGTTATTTACATTTTGGGCCTCAGTTTAACCATGAGAGTTTCATAATTCAACAAATGCTTATTGAATGAGTACTAGTGCAAGGTACTGGCTGCTGGCTAGGGAAATGTTATATTACCCTCATGGAGCTTATATTCTAGTGCAAGAGATATTCAATAAACAAATAAATTAAAGTGTAACATAATTAAGATAGAGAATATAAGCAGTCTTCGATATGATTGTCAGGAAAGACTTCAATGAGGTGAAAGTTCTGCAGGGACATCTGTGAAGACACGAATGAGGTGAGGGAACAAGAGATGGGGTAAGATCATTCCAAGCAGAGGAAACATCAGTGCAAAGGCCCTGCACGGGGACATGTTTGTGTGCTTGGACTAAGAGGGAAGAGCACATAGTAAGAGATTTAAAGAAGTAATTCAATGTCAGATCATGTAGGGTCTTGCAGGCCATGGTGAGGACTTTGGACATTTTTCAAATCATAATGAGAAATCATTGAACATTTGACAGAAGAATATGACATATTATTACTAGCAAAAACAATAATTATTATTTATATAGCATTTCATATGTGCCAGTCTCTGTTCCAAATATTTCACTTATATTAACTCATTTAATCTTTCAGCAACCTTATGATGTACATATTATTATTGTTATTTTACAGATGATGAAAGTGAGGCACAGAGTAATTAAGTAACTTTAGTGTTTTACATTAATATGTTGTAGAATTTGAACTTGAATCCAAACTATTTGAATTTCAATAGTTAGTATGAGTTTGAACTTGAACCCAGGCAGTCTGGCTCTAAGTTCCTTGCCTTCAACCACTAGCCTATGTCAGCATATCTCATGGTACCTGTATAGGACAAAATGTTCAACACCTATTTGAACAAATGAATGAATAAAAGATAAAACAAAATTTTCAATGCTGGTGGCAAAGAAAGAATCTTATACAAAGTATCTGAATTCATGATGAGTATTTGAAATTATTTTCCTGAGATGAATAATATAAGTGCCTGAATGATTTCCATTTATAAGGATCACTCTGAAGGCAAGAGATTAAGCAGGGAGACCAGTGAGGGGAGAGAGAACAGTGACTAAACTATGGGGTGTATGGTGGAAGAGAGAAATAGTGGTCATATTTGAGATGTGTTTTGAATGTAGAGTAAATAGAAGATCTATTGATGGATTGCATATGAGCTGTGAGATAAAGAGAAGACTTGATGATGAATCCAACTTCTTGGCTTGAGCAACTGGGAAAAAAGTAGCTTCTTAAAAAGCTGGGAAAACTGGGGGAGGCAGTGGTGTGGTGAACGGTAGATATAAAGTGTTTTGAATATGTAAACTTTGAAATGCGTATGAAACATCTAAGAAGAGCTATGAAGAAGGCCATAGTCTGGGGTTTGGACTATAGATTTAAATTTGCAGATCATTATCATATGGATGTTTGACAAAGCTATGGCTCTGGATGAGATTCCCTAGGGAGAAAATATAAGCATAGCAACGATTGAGCACTGGGACATTCTAACTCTCAGAGATTGTACAGAGGAAAGTATCTAACAAAGTAATCTGGAAAGGAGCCGCAGATGCAATTGATGGCAAACAAGGAGTCGAAGAAGGTAGTTTTAAGGAAAAATCGATCAACTGTGTCTAAAGCTTTTAATAGGTCAAGATGAAGACCAAGAATTGAGCATTACATTTGGCAAAGTGTAGGTCCTTAGATACTTTGATTATGGAGTGTTAGGGACAAAAGTCTGATTAGATCTGTTTCAAGGGACTAGCAAAATTCTGAAGCCCCATTATAATAGCTATGGCAAAATGATTAAAAATAACACGAAGAAAAGATATGGAGGATAATAGCGGAGAGAAGAAGAAAGTAATAATGGTTTCCTAAATACTTCAATCAATTGCAAAACATTTTATTGAGCAGCTCCTACACACCCAACACCACACTGTTAAGCACTGACTCCAGTGAATTTGCAGCCTTATTACTTCATTCATTTAGGTGACAATTTTTCATCGAATGCCTAGTATGTAACTTTTAAAACATTTTTCTTAATTGTTACAATAACATTTTGACATCAAGCAAATTTAAAAAGGAAAAAGTATGTCTATACTTCCATAATCCTAACACAATAACATTTTAAACATTTTACGCTTTCCTTTCAATTACTGTTCATATGTTTCCATAACTTTTACCTAGTCTTATTAATTATATTTTAAGCTTTTCTCTTTGTAGACATATTTTTATAATGTGTTAATTATGACAGAAAATATTTTATTATGTGAATATACAGCTTGGTTATCTAATAATTTTTATTCCCGACCATTTATGTTGTCTTCAAATTACAATATATAATACTATGATCATTTGTCTCTATGTGTATCATCTATGTTAAGCTATGAGTACCCCCTCAAAGGACGGGACTGTATCTGGTTCAATTCTGAATCACCAGCATGTACCTGGCACAGAATGACTTCTAGGAAGCACATGAGATTGTAGTGAAGTGGTAAAGAGCAACAAGATTGACAGTCTCAGTTCTCATTTTGTATTCTCCACTTGTAAACTCGTGACCTTGGGTAAGATACTACTTCTCTATATCTCATCTATAAATTGGAGATAATAACAGTACCTTATAGATTATTGTAAGAATTAAATGAGCTGATATGTGCAAAGTGCCTGCTACATTTTAAGCACATATTATATAAGTGCTTGGTGTTGCATGTAAGAAAAAAAAGATGCCCTGAATATGTTTATTGAATGACTAATAAATCAGAGATCAATTTTATTTTTGCTTTACACAAGTAACTTTTAAAATTCTTTTGGATATTTCCTTTTGGGTTCAGTAACAATGTTGTGAGCATGGACTATGTGCCAGATATCCAAAGACAGATAATCTCTTGGGATTACTTTTCATAAATGCTATCAGTAAATGAAATAACATGAGCATTTATTTCTACAGCTTTGATTATGCTGTTATTTTGCCTTGGGGTGTTAAGCTCTTTGAGGGTAGGGGCAGTGTCTGAATTTTACATTGCTGTCAATACTTAACTGCCACCTGCTAGTTCGCCCAGGCCCTTTTCTTCTTTCAAGTCTTTTACTCCTTCTCCTTAATTGCTTCCTCTAAGAGCAGAAGAAAAATCAAGGAGGTGGTGGTGGGCAAGGCCTGTATGAAGAGGCAAGTCGACTTGGTAGATTGCCTTTGTTAGAGAGTTTCAGAAATGGGGACAGGTGATGAAGGGTCTTGCCAGTCAGGAAGACATGTGATCCACTACCAGCAGGAAACAACAGAAGATTCTTGAACAAAGAATTTGACTTAATGAAAGCCATTATAACATTTCTCAGGATGATTATACAGACTTTCATCTAGAATGGCAGAGGGCAACTGAGGGCTCTTGTAAAAACCTAGAGGAATGGGAACGAATAAAAGGGAAATTCTTTTGAGATTATTTCGTTCTACATTATTTCGATTGTTCGTTCGTTCCTGCTCTCATTCAATACATATATAGAGTGTTCATTTTATGCCAGGCACTGTGCTAGGCACTGATTCAGCCCTGCTATTATGACCAGTTGTTCATTCCCACGACTGTCACTTGTAGCAGAGAAGGAGCTCCGGATCACCTAGGTGGAGTCTTACTTCCTGCCGCTCTCTGTGCTTGGCACATAGTGGGCGCACAAATTCTGTAGAATGAATTGATATATAGCCTTGATGCAGCGAGATAACTAAATACACAGAGCCGGGAAGAAAAGGCACCTATGAGACCACCTATGAGACCACAATTTCGCAGTGAGCGCTCCTGTGTGTCTCTGTGTAGAGTGCGAGGCGTAGCTTCCCAGAGCGCCTGGCAGCGTGCCAAGCTGCAGGACCAATCCTCTTCTTTCCTTGCGCGCTCAAGTCGAGGCGGTGGCAGAGCGCCAAAGCAGACAAGGCCAAGCGCAACCTCCCGTCGCCCGCAGTACCGCCCCGCGCGGCTCCTCCCCGCCGCTGGCTG